ATTAATGACTCAACTTCAAATATATATATATATATATATATATATATATATAGGGTGTTCCTTAATGATATACGAATATTCAAGATGTGAATCTGCATGGAAAATTAATGTTAGTTTGTTTTATAAACTATGGTCCATAAATGTTTCCTTACAAAAACTCGGGGTGTTGAAGTTTTAGGAAAAAAATGGAAATTAATTAATATTTTCAGAACCGCTTCAGATATTTCACTGATATTTAGTACCTAGTGAAAGTTAATAAAGTTGCATATTTCTCAATGCAAAAATAATTTTTAGTTTTATCAGTGGCGTGCGTACGGGTATTGACTTCGATATTTTTTAAGAAAAAAATGATACACCAATGGTTCTTAGCCAAACAATAATTATTTTTCAATTCCCCGTTCAATTTAAAACAAATGATCTCTCTTGAATTGTTTTCCTCCGATGCGCCATTTTTGAGTAAAAAAATAAAAACCGTTCTATTGTCTAAATTGCAAAATTATTAATAATTTAATTGAAAAAATTAAGCACATTAGAGGTAATGAACAACAACAACTGACAACATAAATGTAACATTAAAACCAACGGAAGGATTACAAAAATTGTTGAAAATAGCCCCCTTCACTCAGTATGCATGCTTCCGCCCTCCTTCTCGTGGAATTGCCCACTAGTTGAAATATCCCTGGAGTGTTTTTTATTCTATCACATGCTTTCTCTTAATTTCTCTAAATTTTTAATGGAACCTGTGTACACTAGTGTCTTAAGATAACCCCACAAAAAAAGAAAATCTAAACTTTTGAGGTCTGGGGGACAGTTTGTAAATACCTGTAATTACGAACCGCTACACTGAAATGCGCTGATGCATCATCTTGTATGTACCACATATTGTTTCTTATTACTAACGTAACATCATCAAGCAGCAAAGGCAACTGTTGTTTAAGAAAATTGAAGTAAGTCTGTCCGTCTAGTCGTCCCGGCAAGAAGAATGTGCCAATAAAGTGGTTGCCAATAATTCCTGCCCATACGTTAACCGAAAATTGGTGTTGGAAATGGGTTTCGATTACGGCATAGGGATTTTCTTCTACCCACAAATGGTTATTGTGGAAATTCTGAATGGCATTTCAAGAAAAATTAGCTTCGTCCGTGAACAGAACACTGATTCAAATTGCAGATTTTGTGTAATTTTTTGAAGATACCACTGACAAAAAATCACACGCCTTGGAAAATCAATGGGAAGTAATGCCTGTACTCTTAAAATATGTTAAGGATATAACAAAAAATCTACTAAAATCCTCCAATTTGATGACAAATATTTAAGTGTCTAGCGATCTTCCTCGAACTCGATTCAGGATGTTCTTCGACTTCGTGCAGCACTGCTTCCTCAATTTCAGGTGTTTTCACACTTAGAGTTCTACCTTCAGATATTCCTTTTCGGACAGAACCAGTTTCAAGAAGACGACGATGAATATTAGAAAAGGTTCGACTATCTGGCAAAGCACGATCGGGATATCTCTGGTGATAAATCTGTCTGGCTTGCTCACCATTACCGTCGGCAAGGCCATATAAGAAATGCATTTCTGCCATTTCTGCATTTGAATAATTCACCATTATTAACAAGATTGTAAATACTAAATAATGAAAAAGATGTCACAGCGAACAGATTTGAATAACAGAGACTTGTCAGATGTCAAAAGCTAGTGACATATTCCAGAGCAACTAGATATTTATTGCTAAATTGTATTCTTCAATTATTTCATTAATTTTCTCGGACAATAAACGGCTTTTATTTTTTTACTCAAAAATGGCGCATCAAAGGAAAGCAACTCAAGAAAGATTATTTGTTTTAAATGGCAAAAAACGATTATCGTACCATTTTTTTTAAAATATCGAAGTCAATACCCGTACGTACGCCACTGTGAAAGCTAAAAATTATTTATGCATTAAAAAATATGCAACTCTATTAACTTTCACGACCTACTAAATATCAGTGAAATAGCTGAAGAAGTTCTGAAAATACTAATTAATTTCCATTTTTTCCTAAAACTTCAACACCCCGAGTTTTTATAAGGAAACATTTTTGGACAATAGTTTATAAAGCAAACTAACATTAACTTTTCATGTAGATTCACACTCTTAAATATTCGCATATCATTAAGGAACACCCTGTATATGTAACCTCAAAACAGCAGAGCGTTAGCACGGATCAGCAAAAATCTAGAAATAATGATTCCATGACCATTAGGGTACCCCAGCCTATGAGGCAAACCAATTTTTGTTCGAATTGAGATACGGATACCCTCTATTTTTTCCATTTGAATCTAACAACTCAAAAAGTAAATACTATTGCGATCGGAGAGCGACTTTCGGTCAAACTTTGAATTTGAAAGTTAATATCGATTTCAAAACCTAATTCTTATTAGACAAATGGACCACTGCTCTATTTGTATCATATAGTTTCATAGAGATTTATCATTATTACTAAATTTTCTTTTAAAATTTTTCTTTGTACAGTACACATCGTAATAAAAATTGTTTTTGTTCCTCATCAGCAGTGATTAAGCCTTGGAAGTCTTGCATTTATTTGCCTGCTCTTTCGCCGTATCGCTGACTGCTCTCAGTGTTTACACCTTATTCTTAGCCTGTTGAAAAAAATCATTTTGTGGCCATGAAGTTGGACACTCGTTCAGAAAACTGTCATCAATTTTGAGTCGACTGAACTGATCGAAACAAAGTCATCGTTATATTTTATCATTTTATATTTGTTATGTATATTCATTCCATAAAAATTATTATTATTATTGATATTTTTCACTGAAATGAAAAAAAGAAGAATAGCTACCTTCTAAACTTGCTGGTTTTGTCCGTCCTACCTCAGACAGTCAACCATGGTCAGATGTGTTGTGCTTTGTAACAACATATCAGCATCGTCTAGGCCTGGCCTCAGGTCAAGATAACGAATGAAAGCTTAGCAATTAACCGCTATCTGAGGTATAATGTCTATTGAAATAAGACAGTGTAAGGTGAGATGTATTGCCAGAACCGCAGTGGCTTATTTCAACAGTTGGCATATATCGAAGCCGTAGTAGAAGACAAAGGAAAGTTGATTCGTCAGATTTACCATCAAGTAAGCCAGAAAGTTCTTCTTTCGATGGGATGTAGCGTTTACCGTGGGCTAATGGACTTTCTTTGGCTAAATTATCAAACGTTTTTACTTTAGTTTCTTCATATACGCCATCGGTTTCACGTATATATATTATCACGATGAACTGGTAGATATCTAACAGAACTGCATTATTCTCATTAGAAAGTTTGAGCTGGGATCTTAGTAACGCTATTTTTAATGAATAGATTGCTCTGACCATCCATCGAGCTTGATGTATGGCGCCTGGCGGTCGCATCTTAAATTTTTTCTCTGTAACTTCTTTCATCAAATGTCGACAAAATTCTAGCAGCTTGCCAGTCTTTGAAATATTCAGGCGTGATAGCTTTTCAGTATAAATTTGTATCTTCTCACTTTTCCAGTTATTGCGAAACTTTCTAAACATTGGAATGGCAGCTTGTAGTCACTTGGTCGCTCTTTGATTCCAACATGCATTTTAACATCAATTCGTAGACGTGATGGCGACGACCAAAAATAAGCATTTCTTTATTAAGTTTCCGTTTCAATAGCTGACAGGCACCGTTAAGGCGACCGATATTTGAAGCAGTAGTATCGCAACAGAGAATCTGAACTTCATCATCAAGATTCCAGTCAATAATAGCAGCTCAAGCTGCCTGAGCCTGCTCGCTGCCTGAAGAGTTATCCAATTTGGGCATAGCGATAAGTTGCTCTTTAGTTTCATACGTTATAAAAATCGGTAGACTTCTTCTTTAGACTTGCGTGCATTTAAAGGTGGCGACAATTTGCCATCCCAGTGGACAGTTACGGTATCCGGTACCTCGCTTTGGAAATCAAGCTTTATAGCTTCTGCACAATGCTTCCGCTTTTCGGTACGAATTTTTTGAACGGAGGACTTGCTTATTGAAAACTGGTAAGTGTTATGTCCACGTGCCTCAATGGTTGCTTCAATAATTTCTCAATTCGCCCTGTATAAGGGATAATTGACAATACGTCATATTTTTGCTCGTGAAAGTTTTCAAGTTTTTCAATAGAAAATCCGATTTAAAAACATGGAGATAGACTCTGGAGGTCAAAGTAATGATCCCCCACCGTCCCCGATGATGACTGGACCCAGCCAGAAGGAGAGAACAGAAATTACCAAAAAATCAAAGGAATTGACACCAGCTGTAGCAGACGAAAAGGACGGAACCATCCAGCGCCAGACCCTGATCATCGAAAGCCAGGCCCAGCAAATAAAGGAGCTGACTGAGACCATGAAACCAAAGGAATTGATGACACCAGCTGTAGCAGACGAAAAGGACAACCATCCAGCGCCAGACCCTGATCATCGAAAGCCAGGCCCAGCAAATAAAGGAGCCTGAGACAGTTAGGGATCAAAACAGTAAAATAGACTGCCTGACCACCCAGGTAACACAGTTAACGAATAGTGCAAATCTTAATTCTAAATCTGACAAGGCTGTCAATTTAAAAAGACCTCTTGAAAATTTAACTGACGTGACATCGACCGACGATGAAATACAGAATTACGGATTCATCCAGGCCAAGTCTAGGAAAAGACACATCGACAAAACGAACAAAACCGACAAGACGGATGACTTCCCACCTCTTCCAAAAGCAAAATCAAAATTCAAGTTGACAGTCCCCTCAAAACCTTCTGCTTCATTAAACGTATCAACTTCTTCTGCCACTTGTCCTATGACGGTCGATGCGGCGACTACATCTTCTCAATCTGCCACTGCATCGACTGACAGTGCATTATCTCAACAATCTCACGTTGCTGGTGAGTTGACCAGCACAGCACCCCGCCAGGGGCGAATCACGCCCATTGTTTTGCGTGATGCGACCAAGTGGCGACATCTAAACTACACCTTTATAAGCTTAGGCATTAAGATAGAACGCGCAGTTGCCGTTGATGCGGGAATCAGGATTTTGCCGAAAACTGAGGATGACTACCGAAGAATCGTTCGCCTGTTCAGGGAGGAGGACGTGCCCCATCATACGTTCCCTCTTCCTTCAGAACGAAATATTCACGCGGTAGTCAGAGGCATACCCGCAATGTTTTCGGAACAGGAGATGAAAGGGGAATTAGAACAGAGGGGATATACTCCTCTCCACATTATCCGACTCAAACGCAGTGGCGGCGCACCCATGCCTTTGGTGGTCGTGATACTGCCCAAGATTGAAAAGTCCCAGCAGCTGTTCAATGAACAGGAGCTGCTGGGTCTAGCAATCAGAGTTGAAGTTCAAAAGAACTCTAGACTTAGCCAAAGGTATGGTCATGCGCAGTCTTACTGCACAGCACCTCCCAATTGTTTAAAATGTGCTTTCGACCACATGACACATTTATGCCCCCTCACAGAACAAGAGGAGCGAAAGTGTGCGAACTGTGGAGGGGCGCTTCCCGCTAACATTCCCACTTGCAGATTCACCCCCAGGCGAAATTTGGAAGTCATAGCGCAAAGACGCAGCACGTCATACGCGGAAGCAGCCGTCTCAACATCTTCGGCTGCCCCCTCTGTTCAACCTACTTTGAACACGCAGAATGTGGACCTAGCAACTGCGCTTAGGTCCCTTCAACAAATAATAAGTCCCCTGATTAGCGCCACCCAGGCATTGCAGGCGATCTTTCCGCAGCCATTGAAGGGCTAAGTGCAATAGACAACCTGCATTTATCATCTGTCAGGTATCTTGGAGTCATCATTGACAAGGGATTGACCTGGCAGAAACATACTGATATTTTGAAGACAAAATTCCAAATAACCTTTCGGCAGCTTTATCCTCTGTTGTGCAGAAATTCAAAATTAAGTTTGATCAACAAGATTCGGTTGTATAAAATGGTCAAAGACCCAAAATCACCTACGAATGCGCGGCTTGGTGTTTTCTTGCCAAGACGCACATGCAGAGACTGCAAGTCCTGCAAAACAGAACCCTACGCACAATTACTAACGCCCCTTGGTACGTGTCAAATGAGACTATTCACAGAGATCTTGATATCCTATATTTAAGGGATTACGTAAAACAACAGGCGAAGTGGCGTTATAATCAAGCGGAATCGCACGCCTCTGTTGTAAATTGTAAATTCAGACCAGCCACAATTATTTCAGTAAACAAAACCGATCAAAATTATTTTTTGGAGTTACAAAATAATTCGAGTAGTCAAAGCAATAATGCTTAAGCTATTTCAAATGATTTACTTCTTTTCTTTGCTCTATTTCTTCCTTCCTTTCTTGCCTTCTTTCCCTTTTCTCCTTAAACATGTTTGGTATCTGGGAAGCCAGACCTGACAGACTAACAGACCGACGAGACTTTTAACTAAGAGCAAAGGTCCACCGGACCGCTCTGACGAATAATGACGAATAGTATCAATGATTTCTGACACTTAACTGGCCCCTATCAGTACCAGGCTGTGTGCTCTGAGTTGGGATGGGCAAAGTTTCTTGTAAATCTATCTCGGAATCTGAAGATAAATTTTCTTGCACTGGTTTGTCAGATGATGTTGAAGGAGTTGAGGAAGCTAGATATTTAGCTCGCCGCTTTTGTTCTTCGGTGTTCCTAAGACGCGCCTTTTCCTCTTGTATGGCTAATTTCTTGTCCATCCCAGCTAAATGACCAGGTCGATCTGGCTCTCTCTGCCGCTTCATTTATTTTCATCAATTGAAGGGCATCGGCATGCGCAATATCAAACAGATTGTTCGTAGTGAACTCTTGTCGAAGCTGCTCAAACACTTCCTGTATTTTGGTTGCATTTTTTTGCAAATCTCTCCAAACTTGGTATAAGGTAACCAGTTTCTTAACACAGTTAGGTGAATATTTAGTCGGTATACCTACATCCATTTTCCCAGTAAATAATACGCTCTCTGACACTTAATTTCACTTCCCGGATAATATAGAACAAAACTGTTAGTACTTGTCCATTAGAGGAAAGTTTTGACCGGCCCCTATTTAGAACTGTGTAATTCCTTCGACATGTTGACTGAACGAAAACGGTGCGTTTACTAATGGAACAAACGAGCAATGCAATACGTTAGCTAGCGCGCGTCTAATATGCATGCTTTATTTACAACTATTTTGCTATTGTTCAAGCAAAATTAGAGGGTATACGTTTGAAAAAAAACCTTTCTATTTTTTTGGGACACCCTAATGACCATGAGGTAATGTGGACCATATCCCTGAGTTTCTGGCGGAGATGAAAAAGTATGGAGGCCATAAGGCGTTATTTGAAGTAGGAACGACTATACTCTTCGGTCTGAATCTTACTCACTTTTGCACTCTGATTACACCTCTACGAATATCTGCGTTCACCAGTTTGTGGTCAAACTTCACCTTCACGTTGTCGTAGTTTTCTGCAGCTGAAAATTGCAGTGCTGTTTAAAAACTCTAGAGATGATCGTGCAAGCTCTCACCATTCAATAATACTTCATTGAGGGAGTTCCTTCCAATTGAGTAGATACACTAGAAAAAAAGGGAGGCAGTATTAGTTCGCGAATTCTTATAATTTAAAAAGGGTCAAGCCCATATGCTTACATTGCATTGTTTGGCGGCAAAAATCCGTAGTTTTAGTTCATACTTTTGGTTCATTTGTCTATCATTAACTACAACTGTTTTTTTTTTATACCGAAGTAGGTGCGCAGGCAGAACTTAATGCTATGAGGGCTGCTATGGGGAGCTTAAAGAAACTTGGTAAAGCCAATTTTTGCAGCATCGTAGAACTGGGAAAAGCCTCTCATGTAGATTTTTGCACACTCTCGATACCCTATGGACAAAGGAGCGGTCGTATCAGCTAGTTCTTTGTGTATGAAGTTCGACACGGGTAGGATGTGAGTCCGAAATCCGGCGCTTCTGTCTGGCAGGCACATCGCGCGGCGACATCATGGAGGAAAGCTCTGAGAAGCAAAGCTCGTTGGCTTAGTATTTGAAAAGAACTACATAGATCGCCGACGGCCCACCAGTGCAAAAGGGTCCCGACACTGTCCGTTAGACAAGAGTCATCGATCAGTCAGAGAGGCTTGTACAGTCATGTGGAGAAAAGTACTAGAATAGAATAGAAATTTATTGGTTTCTCAGTTATAAACAAAAACAAAGAAATTTATAACAGAGATAACACGTCATTGTGATACAGTGTAAATAACACACAATTTTTCTAAAGTACATACAAAACAAACATTCATAGACTCTCCAGCTCATCCAGAAGATCTACACAAATAATCACATAGTTCTCCAAATTAAACAGATCCTTCACGCGATACAATCAGAAAACCACAATGTTGTTCTCGTATGGGCTCCCTCTCACGTCGGTATCAGGGGCAACGAAAAAGCAGACCTTCAGGCTCAATTGGCGGCAAATCTCGCAAGAATATCTTCTGTGAACATCTCAGCTTCAGACATCAAAGCTCTCCTCAGAAACCGAGTGATTGAAACTTGGAATAATAACTGGCAGAATATTCCATCGAAGCTTCTCGAATTAAAACCTAAATTCGGACCTTGGACTCCAAATTCTACTAGCAGAAGATACCAAACCCTAATCACCCGACTCCGCTTGGGTCACACCCGGATCACTCATGAACACCTCATCACCCAGGAGCCAGAACCTATGTGTGAAATATGTGAAACTAACCTAACCGTGAAACACTTATTAGTGCAGTGCCCATTACTAGAACACCATAGAGTGGAATGCAACCTTACATCGATGGCTTTGAGTGACATTTTAGCACCCAATTGTAACATACGCAACCTGATACACTTCTTACAGCTTTGTAATGTACTACATAAAATATAACGTACTGTATCCGATACCGCTAATGGCCAATAGGTCGATGCGGTTTATTAAATAAAAAAAAAAAAAACATTCATAGACAACATACAACAACAGCGATATTAATGCTTACGGTTTCACTAGAGCACAGAACTTTTCAATACTATATGGTTCCATATCGCATATATACGAGTATTTATTATGAATGCTTTTTTGAATATAGTGAATGCTGAAATGGATTGAAGATGGCGAGGTAAAGCATTGTAAAGTTTCAGTGCAGAGTAATGTCGACATTTTTCGGTAGAATTTAGCGTATGTGATGGGTAGAAGTATTTCTGACTTTTGCGAGTATTCAACTATGGTTGAAGACGTTTTTTCCAAACTTTTCTTTATGGCTAAAGATAAATAGAAGAGTGTTATAGATATAAATTCCCGGTAATGTTAATAAGCGGTTGACTTTAAATATACTTCTACATGACTCTCTAGGTTTCATTTTGAACATTGTTCTTATTATCCTCTTTTGTATGATAAAAATTCTATTGGCTGTGGGACTATTAATCCAAATTGTTATTTGATAAGACATCATAGAATACGCAAGCCCATAGTAAGCAGCCTGCACAGCTTGCAAGGGCAGGTGACAAGTGAGTACTCGTAGTGCATAGCATGCTTGATTGAGTTTTGAAGCCATACTCTCAATGTGCTTATCAAATTTAAGACAGCTATCGTAGGTGACACCTAGGAGATTTGTATCGCTTTTGATACATAGAGGTTCATTAATTAAGGGTAGTTCTTTGGTGGCATGGCTTGACTGAAATAGGACACAACACGTTTTTTGTATGTTGAATGCTAACTTATTCATCTACAGCCAGTTTTGAATATGGTTTATTTGTGTCTCTATCAAGATTCGGATATCATACGTTCCTCTATATGGTATCAGAATAGTTATATCATCTGCATAGATGGAACTTAGATTTTGCGTGTTTTTCGTGCTGGTGGATATATCATTAATATAAATAATAAACAATGTTGGGCCCAGTGTACTGCCTTGAGGAACACCAGTACTATATATCTGAGGACTAGATGTTATTCGTTTCCCGGTTTTGTTCAAAATTACTTTCTGTCTTCTATTACAGAGATAAGATTTAAGCCAGTAGTACGCATTCCCGCGTATACCATATTTATATAATTTGTTTAGCAATATTGCGTGATCAATGCAATCAAATGCTTTTGACAGGTCCACAAATAAACCACATGCTGCTCCTTGATTCTCTCGATATTCATGGATTGCTGTGCTGAAATCGAACATCGAACAGTGCCGCGTTCACGCCTCTACCTTTCATGAAGTATTTATTTGAGTGGAAAAAATTAATAAGACGGTTGTTATAAGCAGTTTCAAAGATTTTTGAAAAATTTATTAGTCAGCTAATAGCACGGTAGTTGTCCATATCATCAGGATCGCCTTTTTTATAGTTTGGTAATACGAGTGCAATTTTTAATGCTTCTGGGAATTCTCCTTCACTAAGAGATGCATTTAGGATATTAAGAAGGGGGTCAGATATTATGGTTATCTTTTTGTTAATGATGAAAATTGGGACGTTGTCATCACAATTTTTTATGTTTTTTAGGTTGCATACAATTCTGAGCAATTCGTCATGATCTATTGGAGTTAAAAATATTGTTTTATTTTTTTGTTCTAGGTTGCAGTCATAATTCAAATTTGGTAGTTTTGAGAGGAGTTTTGGAGCAGCTTCGACAAAGCTTTCATTGAAATGGTTTGCTAAAGCATTTACATCATTATGTACCGGTAAATCAAACTGATCTGACGACGCTTTGGGTGTGGTAGTTAACTCTCATACTGTATTCCAAATTCCTTTACTTCTATTGCCATGATTATTTACTTTGTTTAAATAGTATTGCGATTTTGAATCTTTTAAGAGTTTCTCATATGTCTGATTATAACTTTTAAAAACATCTTTATATTTTATATCGTTTATAGCCTAGGTTTCTCCCTACAGCTGCTGCTATTGACGAATTACTGCAAGTCGAGTGCTTTTCTCAGCCAAGCTGTGAACCGCATTGATCGTACATGAAATCAGGTCGTTGATATAAAAGAGGAACAACGTTGGAGTCAAGACCGATACCTGGGGAATACCCGCCTTGACGTTGTGAGATGAAGAGGATAAAACGTCAATTCCGACGGATATCTTGCGATCAGAGAGGAAGTCAACCACCAATCTTCAAAACTTCTCTGGAAGGCCAAGGGTTTGCATAAGAGGTCAGAATACCACAGCTGATCGAACGCTTTCGTGATATCAAGAGCAATTACATGAGCCTCACCGTAAGACTGGATGAGTCTACTCCATAATTGCGTGACTTAAGCTAGGAGATCCCCTGTGAATCGCTGGTGCCAGAAACCATACGCTAATCAAGCCGCGAAGTTCGAGGTAGTCCATAGGCTCGCGATTTATGCACCTCTCCATCGCCTTACTTATAACAGAAAGCAGAGCTATAGGCCTGTAGTTGTAAGGGTCGATCTTAGTTCACTTTTTTGGGGTGGGTTGGACATGAGCAACTTTCCAGTTTTCTGGGAAGGTGCAGGATTCGTAAGATATCTGAAAGAGACGTGAAAGAACTGGAACAAACTCCGCTGCACACCTCTTCAATACAACGGCAAGAGTCAAGTCCGGACCAGAAGCTTTGTTGATGTCGAGCGACAAGAGAACGTCCATGGTAGACTGCAAAGGCATTGGCAATCACTTCCACCTTAGCCTTTTAGTCGGTTACAATCGATCCATCTTGACACGTAAGTGGTGGAAGGCTACTCTATGAGAAGTTCCTTTTAATCTACTTAGTCATCGTCCAGAAAGACCGGCTAATTTTTACATCGTGCTGGTCCTTGGCATTGCGGACCTCCTCGTTTTATTGCACTCGACGTCGGCTTGCTTACTCTCTCCAGTGATGTTTTGTAATAAGGTTTTATGTGCCTTGATCTTCTGGTTGAAATGACTGCACATATGCAACTATAAAAGTAGATACACATGCCCATACATCCGGATACGGGAGTAGCATGAGGAAACGAAGATGGAGAGGGAAAGAAATTTGCACACAAAGTCACAAACAAGAGCCAACCTACACATTGTAGTATAAAATGGCTAGAATAACTCTAATTTTCAAGGCGAGATCTAATCACATCCACGTTGCTGGTTATAGCCACTTGTTGTGATACTTTAAGCCCAAAGCATCTACAAAGAGAAAAGGATCATCCGGAAAAAGGTATACAACAAATAGAATGGGCAAATTTCGCAAAAAGAAGGAAAGTGAGTTCGAGCCGAATATAGGATATATACTTATATTATACATACTTACATTATTGAAAACTGGATCATATGGCATAGACTGCAGTGCGCCGGTTTTACCATGGAGAAGCCTTCCTTGCATTGGTATAGCTGATCCCAAAACAGTTTCCTCCAGCCCAACACTCCTTAAAGCAACGCGACCTCTGTGTGATATAGCAAGATTTATTGACCTTCCTCGCATGTACGAATCTTTTCGAAGATCTGTAAGAATATGTTTAGATGAAAACCGTTGCGTTTGCTTGAGAAGCTATCTATATAAGAATGCTGTTGGCCAACATATTTTATTTGTTTGCAGAAGTATATGTTCCCTTTCACTTCCTATACATCACTGACGTAGGGAAGTATTGTCACCTCAATTTTTTTAATGAGATATTATATTTTTGGATTTCATATGACGTGTACATCACGAAACACCATGTCACTCATTTCCTTCGGTCTCTTTGTCGGTATGTCCGTCTGACTGACTGTCAGTCTGTCCTTGGCCACTCTATAACTTGGAAAGTACTGCTCTGATTTTGATGAAGTTTCCATACAAGGTTACTGCTATCCCAAAGACGAAAGAGCTTTATAGTTTTTGAAAATTGGCCCCATGCGGTGCGATACAGAGGTCAATCACTGAGTTCAATGCTCAGCTTCTGCAGATGGGGATGACGATAAATTGCTCCCCGATGGCGCCCAAGACTGATTCTGGGAATTCGTCATCCCCCAACTACATCAACGTGGATCAGATCAGGATGGTTCACCAACAACTGTTCTTGTAGTCGGTAGTCTACTATACCTTCAAACGCCTGCAAAATAGAACACAGAAGGTGTCCCCAGGCCGTGCCACCAAACTTCCACAGGGGGCCCTAGATATGGCAAGTGCAGCTTTTGTGACAGGAAATTGCAATTATATCCTGGCATAAGGCTGCACATCAAAAAATCCCATCCTATCAAGTAGAACAGGAAGTTAGCAGAAAGCAAGAAGCAGAAGTTTTGGTCAGGCTTGCCAACATCGAAAATTGAAATCGAACCAGAGGTACCTCGTGCACGATATGGTGGCAGCAACAGGGTCGACCCAGCACCAAATCCGTCACAGTAGGTACAAGCCTACTGAGCAGGGCCGTGTCAAACGCATGTTCAGGAAGTCGTTGCATTCAGTGTACAACTTCTTCCCGTTCAAGTGATTGTACACGCGTTAAGTTATACCTCGGTATCGATTGTCGGGTGGCGGTACAACTCCGCCAACGGGCCACTTTTAGGTCTGTTTAACATCATTAACTACCAAAAAGAATGCTCTAGACAAGAAGCAGTCGACCGAGGTGGTACCACCGTCTAGATTTTCCAGGGTGTCTTATGAATGTCCATTTGCTTCCGCACCTAAGCTACGCAGTCGGTTTTCTTCCCTTTCTCTCATAACAAACCAATTAATGATGATGGATTCTTCGAGTACTAAAAACACCGGACGTAAACTTACTCCATACTCGGAATGTCCAAATGGAGGGAACAACATCGATAATAAAATCTGCAACACTGATGCCGTTCACCACTATTTGCAGTCTAATCGTCCTGCCATGCTCTTCTTGGCGGACACCAAAACCTCCGATTCTGCACCGACTAATCATTTTACCTTTCTAGGTGCACTCAAATTTGAGAAAGAACGGGGAAGTTGTGGATTTTGCCCACAGCAGTATTTCCTGCTCCAGAGACGAATTTTTGGAATCAGACCGGAGGGACATCCTGTGGCTTCGCCTCAACTCCAAAACTTCCCCCAAATTTATTTGCTGCCTTTATAGCTCTCTCTCGGACCATAACTGAAATGATCTACTTGAATACCTTGCTGCCAAGATCGACTTCCAGAATATCAATCACCCCGCTTCAGAGGTAGTCCGCACCGGTGATTTCAATGCCCATAATAAGCTTTGGTTGGGCTTAAACAAGACCGATACAGCAGGTCGTGCAGTTCAAGCGTTCGCTCTTACGAAAGGGCTGATCCAGCTGATGACTGACGAGCCCTACTTTTTCCCCACTTCTCGTCACATGCCAGTACCCTGCTGGATCTCTTACTGATCACGCATTCTGTCCCCTACAGCACTGCTGCCCTGTCCCCCCTGGGTAACTCAGACCACGGTGCTGTGGAGGTTAGGTTTCGGTCAGAACCCGCTGTAGCAGCAGAAACTCGTACAGGCCGCAAAACTTGGCATTCCGGACATGCCGACTGGGAGACTTCTTCTCCACCTTTCCTTGGAGAGATGTCTGTTTTGTTGAACATTCTTACAAAATCCCACTGTGAAGAACAGACAAGCCGACGTCGAATCCAGAAACAAATATAGCGAAGCGGCCCGCAATGCCAAACAGCAGCACGATATAAAAGTTAGGCACAGGGTAATGTCGAGAAACAATGGCAGTCGGTCTTTCTGGACGCTAGCCAAGCAGTTAGAAATGAACTTCTTACAGAGTAGCCTTCCACCACTTACGTGTCAGAATGGAACGATTGTAACGGACTCAAAGGCTAAGGCGGAAGTGCTTGCCAAGATCTTTGTTGCCAACTCCACCATGGACGTCCCCCCCAAGGCCGCAGTGCTGTCGATTTAAAGAGTTCCCCACATTATGCGGGAAGTAACATTCAAGCGTAAGACCGTAGGAAGGGTGCTCTTGTTGCTCGACATCAACAAAGCTTATGGTCAGGACTTGATTCCTGCTGTTGTATTGACGAGGTGTGCAACAGAGCTTGCTCCAGTTCTTTCGCGTCTCTTCCAGATATCTTACGAATCCGGCACCTTCCCAGGAAACAGGAAATTTGCTCATGTCCAACCCATCGAAAAAAAGAGATCTAAAACCGACCCTTACAACTACAGGCCTATAGCTCTGCTTTCTGTTATAAGCAAGGTGATGGAGAGGTGCATAAATCGCGACTTCGAACGTCAAGGCTTGATTAGCGGCAGGCAGTATGGTTTCCGGCCCCAACGATCCTCAGGAGAACTCACATCCAGTCTTACGCACACTTCCATTCTATGGCCTCCCAGAGAAGCTTTGCAGATGGGTGGCTGACTTTGTCTCTGGCCGCAAGACAACCATGGTAATTGACGGGTTCTCCTCTTCATCCCACAGCGACAACGCAAGGATCGGTCTTGGCTCCGACGCTGTTCCTTTTTCGTATCAACGACCTCCATTCAGAACGACAAGCCGATCCGTGCAGGTGAGCTGGAGAAAGAAGTCTAGCGGCCACTTCCTCTCTGACGAGCGACCTGGAGGTAATCACAGCTTGGGCACATAACAATCTTGACAAGTTTAATGCTTCCAAAACATAGTACTGTACCTTGATGAATAAAAAGCGTTCCAGCTCTCATCCGGTTTCGATGGATGGCCGAGTTCTGCCAAAGAGCCGTTCATTTCGGCTGGTTTGCTACATGACCTCCTCACTCTATACAAGATCCAGATAAGACCTAGCCTCGAGTATTGCTTACACGTTTGAGGTGCTGCCGCTTCGACTACATTTTACATACTTGATGCTTTCCAGAGGAGGGCTGTTCGAGTGATCGATGACTCTTCTCTAACAGACAGTCTCAGGACCGGCGGGCCGCTGGCGATCTGGTTCTCTTCTGCCACTACACCAACAAGCGTTGCTCTTCAGAGCTCTCCTCCATGACGCCGCCGCGCGGAGTGTCTGATAGACTCACCCGCCTGACTTCGGCCTCCCATCCTAACCTTGTCGAACTTCGTACATCCAGAACTGGCAGCTATGACCGCTCCTTTGTACCTAGGGTGTCAAGATTGTGAGACAATATAAAAGAGAAGGTTTTTCCCAGTTCTACTAACCTGAGGCAGTTCAAAAATCATCTACAATGAGTTCCTTGCCGTAGCCAAAGAAGGGTCTCGGATGAGGATCCGGCATCAAAGGCTACCACAAGAAGGTCAGTCCCAAGCGAGCTATTGGCCGTGAGGTAAGAAAGTTTCATGTCACTCTTGGCAATAGGTAGACCGACGCCTGACATCCTGCCTCGGCGAAAGATGTTGCACCAGCACGGAAGAGTCAAGCCATCGTCTGTAGTGGGTCTTTGCGCAACAACTTCAGGAAACTTCTCAAAAGCAGCACATCGCCACCAAGGAAACACAGTCGCCTGCGCGAGCAGCTCACTGGTTGTACACATGTCTCAACAGGGTGGACAATCAGGGTGTAATGACCCAGTCTATAGACAACATATACAGCTCCCTACAACCCCCAATCTCCAATATTCAAACCTTACAAAAATGTTTTACTCTAGGAACCTGAACATAGTTTCCAGCATTTTTTTCGGCCACTTTTCTAATAGAATCTAGCTCTAGGTTGATAACAAGAAAACCAATTTACTTGTTTGCTTACTACATGAAAGCACTTAGCCAAGGCAAACAACAGGTTAGACGGTCTTGTTTTTTGATTGTGGACGCAATTGCCTGATAACTTACCTGACCTCTTTTCGTAAAGCACAACATGGTATCCCTTTTGACCCATAAAGCATGCGCACAGTGATCCAACCTAGAGACAAAAAGATTTTCTTGTAAGTTATACCTGTACTCACCCCTTACATTATATTTCTAATATTTTCCATACTATTATACAGCGTGTCACAAAAGTCCCGGAATGGTTCTGTATTTTCTCGGGTATTTTGAAATAGATCGAGGTCAGGTCTTCAGTAATTTTCAGCAAGGAATTCAACGTTGACCTTGAACTTGAGCTTGACCTTCACCTTCAAGATTAATTTACGTCCAACTTTATTTTCTCAAATAGAAACCCCTATCTTTGATGCCAGCAATCGAAAGAATACAAAATTTTACGTTCAGGTGCAATCAAAGTCGAAGGTCAGAACTAGTAAAGGTCAAATAAAGATCAAACAGAGGTGCTGTTAGGAAAACCTTAATAAACCTCACAGGATTAGTGAGGAAAATAACTATCAAGATCAGGCCTGTAGCAAATTTTGACGAGTGATCTTAGGTTTGACCTCGAACCTCAACTTCAAGGTCATTTTTCAAATAGCAGCCCGCACGAACAGTATTGGTTAAAAATCATTTGTAACGAGCACCATAGGTCCCCGTTAAAATTTACCCACAGTCTGAACTTACCCGTGAATTGTGTGAGATTTCTAGTTTTGCTAGCAGCACACATTTGGCCTCTATGTGACCTCTACTGGTCACCTTGACCTTGAATTCTAATACATATTTGAACATAAAGTTTCTGACTCTTTGGATTGTCGGTATCAAATAATAGAAAATTAGGAACAATAAAGTTGATCTTAAGATGACCTTGAAGGTTCATGGTCAAATCCAAGAGCATCGACACTTGTGAAAATTTATTAATGACCTGACCTTACCAGTTATTTTCGTCATGGTCTCTGCGAGATTTTATAGAGGTTTTCCCAGCAGCTCCCGCTCTTTCGATTGCCGTTTCCAAAAATAGGGGTTTCCATTAAAAAAAAATAAAGTTTCCCTGAAATAACCTTGAAGGTGAGGTTGAAGGTGAAATCTAAGATCACTTCTCAAAATTTACTACAAAACAGACCTCGATAGTTATTTTCATCACTATTGCTGTAAGATTCATAGTGGCTTTCCTAGCAGCACACATTTGACCTCGGTTTGACCTTTAGTGGTCACCATAACCTTGTTCTTCAATTCGTATTTGGACGTAAACTGTTCTGCTCTGTCGATGGTCGACATCAAAAATAGAGTATTTCATTAAAAAATGAAGTTAACCTTGAACTAACCTTGATGGTGATGATTGAGGTCAAATCCAACATCACTCGTAAAAATTTACCTGAGACCTGAGCTTGATAGTTGTTTTCATTACTAATCCTGTGAGATTTATAGAGATTTTCCTAGCAGCACATATTTCACCTTTAGATGATGCCCTGACTTCAATTCGAATTTGAACGTAAAAGTTTCCGTTCTTTCGATTGCCGGCATCAACAATAAGAATTTTCATATAAAATATAGAGTTATCTTTGAAATAATCTTGAAAGTCAATTCAAGGTCAAATACAAGGTCGTAGTTAACTTCCTCGTTATAATTTATTAAGGACCTGTACGGCTACAATGTAAAAAACCCATAAAACATGAAAAAACAATAAAATGTCATCTTGCAGGCTAGGTAGTTTTTAGGGTGCAAATAGTTCATTCCACGCTTGCTCGCTATGGTCGCTATGAGCGTCCACGTATGGAGGAATGACTCAACTACACGCATTGTCGGATGCAGAGAGCACGTATGTATTTTTGAAGCCGAGTATGTAGATAATATGTGAAAGAAAGAAAGTTGGTGAATAGCAAGATCGCATCTGGATGATTGTGTATTGCTCTGCATATGTACAAAATCAGTGATATTTGCTATGTGAGAAAATTATTACTGAATATGCTTCCAATGAAGTATATACAGGGTGACTTCAAAGTTGAGTCATTTATTTTAACAGTGAGTAGATCTGATCAAAAGAAATGTTTTTTTCCTTTACCATTTTTCTGGTAAAATTAAAGTAACAAAGTTATAGCCCTTTGGAAGTTTGAGTACCGCCCTGTCTCAATAATAATATTATGTGCTCGTGTTTGGCAACCACGGAGTGAATAGTGGTGTCTGTTGCGTGGCTCAAACGAAATAAAAAATGGCACATGTTTATGCGGATCGGTTTCCCAATCGAGTGCAACCAACCCCTCGTGCCTTTGTTAATGTTGTACAACGGGCTCGTGGATCAGGTGACTTAAGACCTCACAGGGGACGGCATGCCGGTGCTCCAAGACCTCACGATCAAATACAGATCCGCACTGAAATACTTGTCGGGAGGATACTTTATAAAACAAGGTAAACTTTTTTTTATTTTTTTTTATTTTTACACACATATTTTGGTTTATCTTCCTTCTACAATCATTATCTGAAAATTAATGACTCAACTTCAAAGTCACCCTGTATATATATATTAGCTATGCCCGATGGGTTATTTATATGTTGACCTTTCTGAAGACAGGTTATGTTCAAAGTTATAAATTACAATTTTCCCGTTTTTTTTGTTTTCAAAAACTTTGAGGAGTATTACGGGAAATCGCCACCGCGCCCGGGTTGTGTGCAATTAAGCCACATCACATAAAAATCAGGAATGACGCATCACACATCAAATATTTTTGCAATGCCTCACATCTAGGCGCTGATTTGTATTTTCTGTTGACACTGCAAAATAAATTTCTGTAAAATTTAAATGACTGGAAATAAAAAATAATGTAATATCCTTTTCACTTTCACAAATATTCCTGTCTGTAGCACCTTTTCTCACCTGTTTATTCACCAAGCAGGGATTTTCTTCTTCCTCTTATCTTTCTCATTTTTGAAAATCAGCAAATTTGCATATGTAATTTCCAGAATGAATAAGAAAAAGTGGATGCGCAAGTAATTTCTAGCTTTGAATCTCAAGTGAGTACATTTGGGACAAGAAACCAATGGAATTATCATCAACACATATTATTAGCACGCAAATCCTCACTATACACCTATGCACTGCCGTTTCCTTCTAGCTATAGTATACAACTTACAGCTTGAACCTCCAATAATGCCATCTCTATAAAAGATTTTACATCACATCAGAGCCAAACATTGATAACTGAAGCCTCATGACGTTTAGGCAACACGTACAACAACAAAACTAGTTCACAACAAGTGTCCATCAGCTAGTGCGAAATTAATGTCTTGTAGAAAAACCTACATAATGTCAAAAAAATATCTACAAAATGTCACTTTTTTACCCGTGCGCCCGTGCCGATCTTGAAGTTATTTTCATCACTAATCCTGTGAGACTTATAGAGGTTTTCCTAGCAGCATACATTTGTTCTTCATTTGACCTTTATTAGTCATCCTGACATTGAAGTTTGTGTTTACCGGCCTCAAAAATAAAATCTTCTATTTGAAAGGTCCAAATCAAGGTCACCGTTGAATTGCTTGCTGAAAGTTACTGAAGACCTGACCTTGATCTTTTCCAAAAATACCTCATCCGAGAAAATACAGAGGCATTCCGGGACTTACGTGTCACGCTGTACAGTTCATTTCACGGTTTTTGGCTGGTCACACTAAAACTACTGTCATCACCTTTTTACACTCATCTCTCTCACACATACATATGCCTCGGGACATGTAGACAGCTTTTGCCAAAATTATTGGAATACTTTGAGAGAGAAAATTCACGTGTGCAGGAGTAGTTGCGTTCAAGGTCGGTTTGCCCAGTGTGCAATTTTCTTATGTAGCTTCAGTTCCGAACATGGCTGAGTCAGTTTGCTTACCCATTTCGTATAACATTGATGACGTAACTGTTAAAAACCGCCTAGTCAGTTTTCCTCATGTTCCGCTCTTATTATGTTCTATACTATATTTGATTAATATGTGTGGGATTCTTCCCATTTTTGGCTTAACCTCTCTTGAGGTTAACTTAGTATTGCGGATGTCGCCTTGTATATAAAACGGCAGGGGTATTACGTATCTTAGAAGGTGAAATTATGTCGGATTTTTTGACGTTTGTTCGTGACATTATGTAGATTTTTCTACAAGATGTCAACTTAGCACCAGCTGTTGTACACTTGTTTGTAGTTATTCCGTAGCAAGAATTATTTTTGTAAATCTTCAATAAAATTTCACGTTGTTTCACTGGGGCACATCGGATCTAACATCAATCGCTGTGTAAGCTCGATTTTCCTATTTATACATTCAATCTCTTTTCGTAAGATACTCGTCTCAGTTTTTGATGAATCACAAAAGGTCGCACCCCCATTTTTGACACTCCTGGTATATTTTGGGAAAAACGCTCGGACAGGTCAATTTTGATTGCTAGTGGAACGTCTTTTCATCTGTATCCGTAGAATGTAGGATGATTCAAAAATAAGGTATTATGTTACACTTTGGAATTTTATATAGAAACCACCATTTTTTTAATTTTTAGATTTTCCATGAAGTTTTTACTAACGATTGTATTAAAGTTTATATCTATCTTCAATCGTTGTGAAGGTATTTGAGTTTATAATAAAATTCGACTAACTTAACATAATACTGATAATAATGGAATGCACGGCAAAAAATAATAGTCATTGATGCCAGCAAGAACATTTAGCATCATGTCATAGACTGACTTTGTCTTTCATTACAAATGGTTAAGCTACCTACCTAGTTGTGACAAATATTGAACAATGACTTACTCAATTCAAGAAATGGTAGAAATAATAAAACTGTATTACCAAAATGGGAGCATTGCACGTAGCCCAGTTGTTTAATGTGTTACATCCAGACAAAAATATTAACGATAATTATGAGGCTGAGTTGATGAGAAAATTTGAAGAAACAGTCTAATATTCGTCGTAATCGCCATCGAGAAAATCGACCAGTTAGAAATGAAGCCGCAGAAATAGCAGTTTTGGGTCGCGAAGCACTTGACAACACCTAAAGCACTCGTGGACTACAGGGTGACCAAAAAATAAGATATTGCGTAAAGCTTTAGGGGGTTTCAATTTGAAAATCTAAAGTGTA